CATGGCATCACACGGAAACCGCAAATCCTCGCTTTCCTCTAATATTACCAGAATTTATCATCTCATTCTATAATGAGTAGGTCGGCCAAAGGTGCATCGATTGGACCAGGAAACACAACCCCGCACACCCGCATTTCTGCAGCAGCCCCGAGCTGTACCATCTCAAAGTGAACCGCTTGGCTTCCGTGACAGGCATTTATTAGGTTCAAGTCGGAACCAGCTCATGCCTTCGCATCACGTGACTGCATTAAATAGGCCGTGCCCCCAAGCAGCAGGCCCCGACCACACCCATAGCGTGGCATGGTTCTACAAAAAAGACAGCTGTTGATTTAAATGTCATGTATTTATCCTAAAAATAGATACACGGGAGAGCCACTCTGGATCGTAGGGTCTCATTTGGTAGGGTCTCATTTGGTAGGGTCTCATTTGGTAGGGTCTCATTTGGTAGGGTCTCATTTGGTGTGATCTCATTTGGTAGGGTCTCATTTGGTATGATTGCGTCTTGGCTACAGCGGACTATCACAAAATCGCTAGGTAGGTGACGAAAAAACATATGATGATGTAGATGAACATGGTACTGTTTCTGGCAGAACACAGTGCTGGGAATTGGTCGAATGGCTAGAAAAGACACAAAGAGTTGGGTGTGCTTTTTAGCACGCGAGCATCTTTCGCAGCCACAAACGCGGCACGTGACTTAAGCGAAAGGACCGTCCATAGTGGGGAGCCGGCACACGAGCCTATTTTATTGTCTGGAGTTGGCATTTTTTATTGTCTGGAGTTGGCAATACTTCAGAAGATAACTACTGGTACTGCGACTTTTTTCTCTTGGCAATACAAGGAAAGTCGATTTCGGCTGGTGTTATCAATGGATGGAGAAAATGGCATATATTGGAAAGAGGCCTTGCTACTGTACGCCTCAGCCAAACCCAAATTCGGCCACAAGTATTAGCATGGTTCCACATAAAAGCCATCGGCAAATAAATTTAACGCCACTTTTTAAAAACGTGGAAAATCGCCTGGAATTGTTTTTGGCTTGATCCAGTGTCGCCAGAATCCAGCCACTAGTTACGGAGATGATGTAATAAATCAATCATGGTGACGCACTTCGGCAACTGCTGGCATTTGAGAATTCAGCATCGGAACATCGTCAGACTTCAGCACCGAAATACCTGAGATTTCAGAACCAAAACATTTGACAATTCAGTACCAAAACATTTGAGATTCCAGCATCAAAACATTTGAGAACTCAGCACCGGATCACCTCCCAAACTGGCAGTCGCATTGATCGCGGGGTATCTTTCAGAACACGGCAAGAGTATACTGGCCCGAAAGCAAAAGCACATGATACTTTTTTCAAACCCTCTAGATACGCGAGGCGTCAGTGGAAGGAAAACTCGGAATCAAAGAAAGACCCAGAAAAATCCGGGATTCGTCATACTTCAAGGACCCAGATCAGTACGTGGGCCTGAAGGAAACAACCCGTCCTGCACACAGTCCGCGCCGTGCCCCACCAAGACGAAATTGCCAGCTAGATCACATAAACGGCAATGCTGCACAAGGCTAAAGGCAGCCGTATCGGGAACCCAAATGGCGCCGAAAACCAAAGGGCACGCCAAAATGGCGTGAAATCCGTGCCTCCCAGCAGGCCCCGCCACCAAACACTCGTGCGCTCGTGTCACGTGACCACGCCCCAGCAACCAGCCTTCAGCCGGGCTCGCAAGGCCACACCTCGATTAACAACATCTCTTTTTCTTCCACATCTCCACCACAAATCATGAAAATCTACTACATCGGCATATTGAAAATCGGCGACAAGGCCATCGAGTTGTCTTCGGCCAGCGATCTCTCGCAGTTCTCGTTTTTCGAGCGCTCGTCCGTGGCTCAATTCATGACCTTTTTCTCTGAGACCGTGTCACAAAGAACACCCGCCGGCCAAAGGCAAAGTATCGAGGAGGGCAACTATGTAGGTCACACATACACACGTTCGGAAGGCTTGTCGTGCGTGGTGATCACGGACAAGGAGTATCCCGTCAGGCCGGCATACACGCTCATCAACAAGATCTTGGAGGAGTACTTATCTTTGCACCCGGCGAGCCAGTGGAATGCCGTAACCGAGCCCAGTGCCTCCTTGCAATATGATCAGTTGGCTGTGTACTTGAAAAAGTATCAGGACCCGAGCCAGGCGGACTCCATCATGAAGGTGCAGCAGGAGTTGGACGAAACCAAGATTGTGTTGCACAAGACGATAGAAAGCGTGTTGCAGAGGGGCGAGAAGCTCGACTCCTTGGTGGACAAGTCTGAGGCGTTGTCGCTGTCATCGCGCATGTTTTACAAGCAGGCGAAGAAGACCAACTCCTGTTGTGTCATTGTGTAGACGAAGGCGACAGTCTAGCCTCGTGGGTGAGCCGAAGGGTTTTGGGCAACGGCACAGTTTATACGCGGAGCGTACCACTTAATATAATACTCTTTTGAGGCGTGTCTGTCCAGTCATTCGGTCGTGCACTCGTGTCTATAATAGTAAGTACGTGTTGTCTGTTTTTGTTTCAAGGCCGCGCAAAACCCCGCCAGATATATCAAATACCCGGCCAGCGGCCGCTTCCTGTCAGTCTGCTTGCGTGCGCACGGGCTTACGCCTTGGAGAGCTTCACTGCCTCAAACGCCTTGAGCAACTTTCTGCGCGCGCCCAACGCCTTCACGCCCAAGTCCTCCAAGTCCCCGTCCGTCAACTCCACCAAATCCGCCCAGTACATGTCCTTAAGGTAGTCGGTGTACTTATGCAAGCGCAACAACTTCAACCACGCAGGGATATTGTTCAACAACTCCTGGTTCACGATTTCCGCGGGCATGGATGAGTTGTTGGACACGGGCGTCGATGGCGCGGACAGCTTCGGTTTGACAGGGAACTCAGGCTCCTTCTTGCCGGGCTTGGCCGCACCGGGTACAGCGGCCATCGCCGCCACGGAGTACTTCTGTGTGTTTGCAGGCACGGAGGACGAGTTGTTCTGTCTGTTGAGCGATTCCTCGTACGCCGCCGCGGTGTGACCGCGGCTGGGGCCCGCATGCTGGAACACCTTGCGGTTAAAGTCCAAAGCTACGCGAGAATTGATCGTCGCGAGTGCCCCGAGCTTGTGCGCAGCCGATTGATCGAAACCCTCATCCGCAGTGCTCGGGACATGCTGTTGTCCGTGGCCATACGAGTGCGGCAGGTGGGATGCGGCCGCGAGCTGCAAAAAGCTGGTCTTTTCGTACAAATGCGAGGTGGGCGAGCGCGTGCGCTCGCCATGGTGTGTCTGCGGCTGGCCCGGGTGTGTCTGCGGCTGGCCCGGGTGTGTCTGCGGCTGGCCCGGGGTCACTCTGTTGTGCAACGATGGGTCCGCCAGCTTGGGCCGCTGCACCTTGCTATCGGCAAACAAGTGGCTGTGGAACTTCGAGTTGGCCTTGGGCTTTGGCTGCAAAAGAGACGCCTGCTGGTTCTCGGCGGCAGAGGCCGCCTGGGCTCTGGGAGCGTCGCTGAAGGACAAGGAGTCCATGTCGGCGACAAAGTCCGCCAGGTATTGCGAGTAGGCGTCAGGCTTTCCAAACACCGCGGGTGGCTGCATGCCCAGGGACAAGTGGTTGTGCAAGCGGGACTTCATTGTGAGCAAAATGTCGAAGGGTAGGTTGTTGCACCAGTAGTCGAGCATGGTCATGATCTCCAGCGGGCTCAAGTTCTCGATCCAGCTCGTGTGCGCCAACATGTCCAGGTAAAAGTGGCCGGGCTGCAGCGGCTGCATACGCAGGAAGGGCTGGCCCAGCAGTCGCGGCAAGATCGACGAGAAATCGTTCACGGACTGCGGCCTGCTTGGCAACGTGCCGAGCAGCGATGCAAACCCAGCGTTCTTGCTCATGAGCAATGCCTGGAGCCCGGGCCCGCCATGAGCAGGCCCGCCCGAGGGGTCCCGCATCAACGGTTCCTGCAACGGGTTGTGGCTGCCCATGTGGGGTTGGCCGTTGAGGTGGGCGTGGTTGTTCATTGCGTACGGCGAGCTTGCTGAGGGAGCCAAGAGGCTTGGCCCGCCGGACAACACGCGGCCCGCCCGGGGGCCATTTCCAGAGCCAGGCCCACTGGCCACAGAGCCCGGGGGACTCGTCGACGCGCTGGCGGAGTTGCCGTTAGACAGGGCCAGCGAAGCGTGGGCAGACGGCGGCTCGCTCACGGCCTCGTGTGCCGAGGACGTCTCCGGGGCGGCCTCGGTCTCGTTGGAGTAGCTCAAATCCAAGTCCAAGTCGGCCTTGAGAGCCTCGAACTCCTGTTGCAAGTTGTAGCCGACGCTTTGATTCCGTTGCACGTGGTAGTTCTCAGGCATGCCCGTAGAACCGGAAAAAGCAACGTTGGCAGCCTGGGTCTCCACAGGCAGCGGCGAAAAGATGATCAGTCTGGCGGAAAACTTCTCGCCCATGTAGTCCGCACCTGCGTCCATGGCGAAGTTCCTCAAAAGAAACGATGAGTGCGGGGGGAGCGGTCCTCGGTCGGGTTGTCTCGGATCCACGCTAGTGTTCACTTTGTGACCACGCTTGGATTGTCTCTCTTTTTTTTTTTTGCTGGCGACGCAGATCAATATCCCTAGTTTCCAGAATCAAGGATATTTCGGTGCCTGGCGATTATAGGCAGTTGCGCTTTTTCGTTGGGCCTCACTATTCCAGCAGTGCCTGAAAATGTCTCGGCGTCTAAAATGTCGTATGCCACAGAGCCAAAAAAAAAGTAATGTTTGTTTTCACGCACCAAGCAACAGAGCCGCTGGGATATGTTAGATTAAGCAAGAATACTCAGCCTATAGAGGAGCCCGGATCAGCAGTGGCGGAACAATCAATGTCCTTTCACCTAATTCTGGGGATAGATGGCAGGAAGAAAAAGGTGAGAAAAACGGGCACTGATGCGCACCGCGCCAGGTGCCGGCGCGACCGTCACGTGACACCGGTCATGGCGATGCGCTGGGAAACACACTTCATGTGCAGGATTACGCCGATGCGGTGCGCGGGATGGGTGTCTAGTTTTTCGCCGGATGGTGCGGATGGGGTACGGGTTAGGGTTTTATGTTTCCGATATAGTAGGTCGAGGACGTAAATCAGATTTACACGATTCGATGCAGGGCACCCGAATCAACATGATCTGTATGGACATTTTTGATTTCCTGTGATTTCATAGGGATTTCTGATCTGCTATGGTTTTGGTGGCCCGCTTTGCTTTATCTCGGTATGTTGGCACTCCAGTGACAATTATTTGTCTGGCTCCACAAGCTTTATTGCACGCGGAGCGGCCAAAACAATAAATGGGCACGTATGAATTTCTGAGCTTTGCCAATTGAACTCTACTTTATGCAAGGAACTGGAGCTAGTTCAATAAAGTGTTATTTTTGTCATAGTGACAGCGGCTCGCTGCCCGAGGTTTAGCTGTTAAGGGGCAGCAGGATTGATGGTATTAATTAATGAATGTGTTTTCGAAACTTAGTTGTATACTGTGAAAAGACAAGAAGAATTTTAAACAAATGTCGTTCTTTGCGGGGCAGCAGAGTTTCGGGTGTTCTGGCTTTTGTTATTTTTTACCCATAGTTTCAGTAGTTTAGTTCTGGCTCTTGTTGAGGGACCACGTAAACGTGCATGGACAGATTGAAACTGTTTATACAGAATCATAAGAATTCACCCCACGTAACAAATTCAAAGCAGAAAGTTCATCTTTGGACTGCGATTGATGTTTCATCGGTAAGTTGAGGTCTGGAGCCTAGGTCTCGTCTCTCATTATGACATGTTTTAAGCTGATCAGAGATGAATGATTTGGACGGCATGTATGTGGAAAGAAAGCTATATTCTAGCCACTTTTGAATATCGATGAAAGCTATTAAGGTTGTTCAAAAATTTCCCACTCCGTTCGTTTTGTTTTCTCTATTGTAGCTCTATGATTACGGCAGTATTTCAGTCATTACTCCCTCAATCTTCTGGGAATTGATGTCGGAGTCTTGACTTGATGTTTCGCAGTATCATAAGATTATACAGACGTGTGTTACGGTTTGATTGATTTCGATTGCATGAAACAAAAGCGCTCATCTAGGTCTCTTTGTTCTGTCCAGTTTGAAAAGCACCGAGAAAAGCATTCCGGGTCTATCTAATGCACCCATAGAAATTCACGCCATGAAGGACTCTAGTATCCCTGTGAGCCGCGTATTTATTCGTCACCTTTGAGAATCACTCTCTCTGTCGGGAATCTCATAATTGAACATCCACGATCTGCTATAGTTGCCACATTCTCATCCACAGAAAATAGCTATACAGTAAATACTCGCCTCTCACCCGAAAAAACTGAGTGCTTTACCCAGGGCTATGTCTATACGATATGCAATACGCACCAATAACAAGCCTTGATCTATTAATATATATAAAAACGACACCACGGTGCCAATGCAAAGTTAGACACGCAAACCCTTGAAGTGTGCCTTGGTTATGATATGTAAAAATTCAAAATGCAATTGGGAGAGAGCCAAATCCTGACTGCTGCACTTTAGTTTTCTAAGCGCTGCTGCCCTCGGCCCTGATCTCCTCTGCCCTGTCTAACCAGAACTGCTTGTTCTCCTCCATAATCTCCGATGTGTATTGCAAGCCAGGGAAGTGCTCCGCTATACTCCTGAACAAGCCCTCGGCAAAAGTCTGGATGAAGAAAATCTGGCCCTTGTGTATGCCAGGGTAGGTCTCAAGTATGTCATCCAAAGAATAGGGTAACTGCGGGTATACCGCGTCCGCGACTTTTGTAGGGTCGTTCTGGACGGCCCGCTCGAGAACCTCCACTTCCGAGAACTCATGTGAAAGTACCAGCGCCCACTGTGACGACACACGGAGTGGCCGAGTGACATTGGAGATATCGGCGCATTTGATGAGCAAGGAGCAGATCAATTTGACTTTGTCGCTGGTCTGCTCGGCCGAACTGAGCTCCAACATCTTGAGCTTGCTGACGTACTCGAAGTGCTCGGCCATGTCGGTGGCAAGAATGCTGTTGATAATGAGATCCTTGAGTGCGAGCGACTCGTTGGGCTGGGGACTAGACTCTGCGGCCAAGAGACTCGGCCAGTTGATGTTGAGGATCTTATTAACAAAAACAGATGCGTGAAACAGTTCCAAGACCGAGCGGTCGCCAAAGAGCTGCGAAGTTGGCGACGCGTGTTTGATCATGTATGCGTTGGTCACACCAGGGTGGCCCACGTCGTGGCCCAATGCGGCAATCATGAGACCAAGGCTTTGCAAGGAATTTAAAAGGGGCACAGGCGCGTTTCCAGAAGCGGCCTTCACAGCCGATTCGGACACAGATGCAGGCCGGGCCACGAGTTCCGGAGATGCATAGGTCTTGGTTTCTGGCAACTGGAATTCGGACCCCAGGGCCCGCGGGTCGAGCTCGAGCTGCTCGAACTCGGGCAAGCACTTGAGCCGAATTAGAAAGTGGAAGCACGCCTGGAGCACGTCCACCGCGTGGCGGAAGTTGTGGAACGAGTTGCCGCTTTTGTAGGTGTCCCTGACCATGAACACCATGGCCAAAAGTTCGTTGGGCGTGGGGATTTCAAGGCCGGGGAAGTCGAGATGGGGGAAGGTGGAGGCAGAATGGCTGACATGCCCGTGCACGTGACCTAGCGCATAAGCCAACATCAAATACACGCAATACACCAAGTCGTCGTAAGAAAGCTCGTGTGCCGGAAACGACCAGTGGCCCACGATGTGGCAGAGCTGGCGGCGCCGGGTCTCAGAATGACTCTGCAACAACAGCGAGAAGTCAATGGACCGCAACACCACGTTCTTGAGCGCCTCCACATGCTGCTGGGTGGCACATGACATGTTGGCGTGGTGGTGCACGAGGAACGACATTGTGGCCACGATCTCTGATATCTGAACTTGTTCGCCGGAGGCCTTAGCTGCGTATACGTCGTTGATGTTAGTGCCGGTACCAGTCCACGTAGCGACACGAGAAATACGGTTTTTCAAGAGGCCTTCGATTTTGGTGATGGCCTTGTTGAGCTCGGAAACAGCTGCTTCACGACGCATATCGTCCGTAGACACTACGATCAAGTTCATGTGGCTGAAGAAGTACCGAAGAAGAAGCGCGCGATCGACAAACGGAAGCGAATCTAGTTCGGAGAATGTCAGTGATTGAGGCGATGCAGAGAATGGCGCTGCCACATGCAACACTACCACTGTGACGTTGTTGACGTCGTGCTCGTCGTTGGCTCTTTTGAAGAACGTTTTGAGCAAAGGAGCCAAAGCGGTGAGGTGCCTTGTTTTGGAGGCACGGATCACGTGCGGCGCATGGTACGTGTGTTCCGGCGACACGTAAAAGACCTCGGCCATGGCAGAGTGTGTGGGGTGGATCTGGGTGGGCTCAAAGACGAGGCTTGACGACAGTGGATCCAGAAATTTGAAGGTCAGGGGTCAGCAGACACAAGGACTGATATGCTAGGTCAGAGATCCTGGGGCAGATGTTCGATCACTTACGGTCCCTTTAACTAGCGTATGAAGGTCCGGCAACGATCAACAGTATTGAACCGATCCTTAAATCCGAATGTCGTGAAATCCGAAGGATATAAAGTCACAAGGAGTGGAAATGGAGCTATGTCCCGAAAATCTTTGCGTCGAGAGCCAAGGAGCAAGCTGTCTGGCGGCTATGGCGTCGGCGGTTCAGTATAGGACGGTCCACAGATAGAAAGCTCACAAATGCACCTTCTATACAGAAGATTAGCGGCTGGGTTTTGTCTCTTCAAAACCGGGCTCACGTGGTCGATGGTTAATGCTGTTTGTACAAACACGTGATGGACCGTGTCCTGCTTGCCAATGGGTTTTAATTACCCACACTCGGTAGATATCAGTGTTCAACAAAGAACAAAGAAATAAATAACACAAGCACGGTCGTGTGGCCAGAAAAAGTCCTACTCCTTTTTTAGGGGGGAGTTCCAACCAAGACGAAGGCTCAGAGATCGGCTCAAATATCTGTGGGGACAATAGACTGCTGAATAAAGGGGAACGACCACCAATCTCTCAGACTCTGCTGGCACGTGATTAGCGCCCAATCGGTTGTTGTTTTTGTTCCCCGCTTGGTAAGGAAAAGCACAAACAAGCTAAAAAGAAAGACGACGAAAGTTGGCGGTGCCTTGTTTGAGAGCAAAAAAGACTTGTTCCGGCAACTGCAGATCGAGCCGGCTGACTGCCTCTTCGCTGGAGCGCAAAAACACATTGCGCCCTGCACACAGACGACGGGAAAAAGCAATTCACGACGCTTGCTCGGGTATTTCTTTTTTGGCGTGCCGAACCCCAGGCCGTGGTCACGTGGGCAGGCTGCTTTCGTTTTCATAGAGTGCCTGAAACATAATAAAGCAGCAAAGTGGAAATCACTAAGTTGGCCCGCCGGAAAACGGCTGGCGGGACTGCAAATCGGCTTTGAATTTTCCCGTGTATTTGTGGGATATTAGGGGCACTCCAGCATGTGTTTGCTCATGGGGCTGAGGTCTAAACCGTCTTATCAATAGAGTTGTTTTGGTTTTCTGGGCCTCTCTCTATCTAAGTTGCTAACTTTCGTGTTTCTCGGGTTTTTTTCTTGTTTGTCTTCTACAATTAGGGGATGGTTTCGACTCGCCCAATCAGTTCGCGTGTTTTGTGGTAACAAGTTTTTGCCCAGTTGACTCTGTTCATTGTTCGACTTGGCCGAACAATACAAGGTCCATGAGAAGCCCGGCCTCAAACAATGCAAGCATGCGGGCCGCGATCTGCTTGACGGGTAAATTCTCGGCATTGCTCGAAAGCTGGTCATAATCTTTTTCACGTTCCCCCGACTTTTCAATCTCTGTAGCTTGGACCACCGAGAAATAGAAAAATGCATCACTCCAGAATTCGTCCGAATTCGGATTTTAGGACCACCTGGTGGGGGAGTGTTTTTTTTCCTCTGATTCTCCACACGGGCTGGAGACGGAGATTCCCCGCGCTATACTTAATTGAACTGACACTTATCGCGAATGCAGAGCCCACTTCCATCCAGTCCTTTTTTTTTTTTTCCTGAGATCTCCTGCTTTACCTCTTCGGCAGCTTCTTCCATATGGGCTATTTACGGCTTCGTTGCATGAATTTACCCTTGTGGAGAAGAAGCCTTACAGAGGCACCCAGAGCCCCGGGTCTAGATTCGATCATCTATTGCGGACAATAGTTGTGTTTGTTCTCTGCAAAGCCCCCGGTCCAGTTCACTCGTAGTATATGATATCAGAACTTAATTGGGGTGGGGCCGCTGATGCAGAACGTGCTCTATCACAATTACAGTATGTGCGCTGTGTAATCTATGTGGAATTGACCCACTGTAATCTTGGCAACTGGGATCCGCGGAAATAAAATCAAAGGAAAACACCCACTCGAGTTTAGTTTGGATTATTGTGCCAAAAAGACGAGATAGTACGTGTCATAGAAAAGCGCACATGTGTATCAATTCTCAAAAGCATGGAATCTTTTCTCATTGCTGAAGTGCAAATGAGCAAAAAAATGCAAAATTGGCGTTACTCTGCCTCCCCGCCGGTCAAAAGTACCCGGCCCAGAAATAGACTGCACTGGCGTTTTTTAGAAATTAGGCAATTTGCAATGGCTAGAATGCTGTTTGGACCGAAAGCTTAACTCTCACCCAAGCAATTAATAAGGTTTCACCGTTGTGACTTGGATCGCCAGCTTCAAGAAGGCCATCATAGGCGAATCAGCATGTGCGCTCGTCGTAAGCTCTCGCAAATTGAATGTACTTGGTCCGTGGAAAGTCGCAAGATATTGACCGGGAGTCCTGCCTTCACCTGCCAGGAATACGGCACGGGTATCCATATGATCTTCCCAATAAAGTTTGGTAAAGATTTGGCTCAAGAAATCTCTCCATCAGAGCCAAATAAGCTCTTGAGGTGGTCTCACCTTTTGCGCCGTTTCTGCAAGAAAGGCTTGGCACACTATATCTTAGGCTCAAGCTCCAAGACCCAGTGTCTCTGCTTCAGTTTTCCAGCCTTGCGTTGAAACCAGCTTTTGAATTAGTCAAGTAATCAAGTAGACGGCCGAGTCTTCTTTGTCAACGCTCTAGCGAGGAGAAGCTAGTCTTTTCTTCTTCTCGCTATCTATCGTGAACCCACCTTTGGTACTGACAACAACGCATAGCAGAGCAACGGGTGGAACTGGCCAAGTCGCTAAGCTCGCGTAGAATGAGGGCCGGTTTACAGAGACTTCGTTGAAGATTGCCGCTGATTAGAAGCCCGGCCTTTGAAGGGCTTCTAATACCTCGCGAGAGAGCCTTTTTGGAGTTTTGAGGGTTTCACCAAGACAACGGTCCATCCATCTCGCCTTTAGTTTGAAGCCAGTTCTTGAATGAATGAGAGGGAGGATGCCGACTGCAACATGCACATGTAGGATCCGCGGAGATACTGGTATGATTGAGTGATGACATGGACAATGGGAACAGGGTGAAAGGCCCATCGCAATTGCTGCAGCATACGCACGGATTAGCCAGGTGGAAGAATGGACCGTACGAGGAATAGTGGGAGTATCATCATTCCCGAGATCAGAACACAGTTCGAATGTCAAATGTCAAGCATGGGCACTGCAGAGACATTGCCTGTCGGATCGAAACGTCCTGAATTTCAACCAGACACGCAAGATGAAATTGCGCCTGATTCGGCAGGAGAGCTATTGTCAGCGCATTATGGATACCCCGGATCCGCACAGTGCCGGTTTCATCCCAAAGAACAGAGCGGGACCACTGGTGATGTGAGATGTGCAGGCGCGGCTCAGAAGTCTTGGTTCGTCCGGGGACAGCTTCTCAGATTGAATGCCAGGCTCCTTCAGTGCCAGCTTTGTTTTTCAGTTTGAATCTTCCGAATATGACAGCCAAGGATGTTTGATATTCCTCGGAAGCTTCTTCAGCTGGTCTGTCGGGTTCACCGCTTTGGGTATTTGTTCGGTTAATCTCTCGGGTTGGGCTCTTCGGATGTTCATTGAGATCACCTGGATGCATTTCTTTGCATATTCTTTGATTCGCCCACCATGATATTCTCCTGGATCCGTCTGTTGGATGCGTCTTTCAGAGTCACCATTCGCAACAGCCCCCAAGACCCTTGAGCCAGATTCGCCCTTGCGCCCGTCAGACTCATTTCTCAGTTCACCTCTCAGACCAGTCTTTCCCAAAGGGCTCTCTGGGATTCACCCAGCAGACCATCTCCAAGAGTGGTTCCAGAATGGCACCCCCTTCCGATCCCCAAGCCCCCCTCTGGTGAGTCTAGCAACCGACACTTCCAAAGACTGCGGGGGTTAGCCATGCTTCCAGAGTTTCTGCAATCTTCTCATGCCCCATCACCTCAGTGCATGTCTTCAGTTTTCCCTCTCCCAAACAGCCCGTTCCTTCAACAGCCCGTTCCTTCAACACGTCATTCCTTCAACACCCCCTTCTCTCAATCACCCCATTTCTTCAACACCCCTTCCACCACCCAAACCTATCCTCCCTCAGGGCCGCCCACGGCCATGTACGCCGCGAGCAAAAGCGCCGCCAGCGCCAGCGCCACCATCAAGTACCGCACGCGGCGCTGGCGCACGCGGAGGTCGTACGCCTCAAAGCGCCGCGACACAAGCTCCAAAACCGCAATCTTGTCCGCCACGTGCGTGTCCAACAATTGCCTGCTGCTGGCCATCTTGGTCTTGGCCGCATCCACACGCGCCGCCAAGCCGGCCAAGAGCCCGCGCAACTTGGCCACCTTGGCCATGCTGCGCCGCGTCTGCTCGTGGTACACGGTCTTGGCGTCCGCGACGGTTTTGCCCAACTGGGCGGAGATTTCATCGACCCGCGCCTGCATGCCTTGCAAGTGCTGCTGAAGCTCCCAGAGCTGCTGCTGGCCGCTGGGCACGGGCTCGGCAAACCGCGGCGTCGGCTCGAGCGAGGCGACGCCGTGGGCCAACATGGCGCTGGCCTGGCCAAGCTCATATTCCACGTGCCGGCTGTCGATGTTGAGGAGCAAGTCCACACAGCCGGTCGGGGCCAAGGCTCCGTCATCAAAGGGCCGGAGGGCCATGGCGCTAGCGCTGGCGGCACTGCCTGTTTGGGGCATGGCCGTGCCCCGATTTCCACTGACGCGTAGCGGCACGTCGTGGGGGTAATCTGCCAGGCGGGGGTCGGGCAACGGGCCGCCAAACACCGCACGGGGCGGCGTGATCTTGGCGTCCATTTTGTAGAACTGCTCCACCAAGCGTTTTTGCATCAGCACGTTGTCGGTGGCGGGGCTGGCTGCTGGGTCGGCGCCGCTTCGGGGGTATTCGTGTGAGCCATTGCTGGAAGCGGTGCCTGTATCTTTTACCAAGTCGGCTGAACCTTTTGAGTTGGCGGAAGCATTTCTCAAGTCGGCTGAAGCATTTCTAAGGCCAGCTGTATCTTTTCTCAGGTCTCCTGAACCATGTCTCAAGTCAGTTGTATCTTTTCTCAAGTCTCCTAAACCTTTTGCGAAGTCGGCTGAAACATTTCTAAGGTCAGCTGTAGTTTCTAAGTCGGCTGAACGATTTCTCAAGTCACCTGTATCTTTTCGCAAGTCACCTGAATTACGTCTCAGATCACCTGAACGATGTCTCAAGTCACCTGAACCCTTTCCAAACTCAGCTGAGTCTTTTCTCAACCCAGCTGACGCTTTCCTCCAGTCAACCGGATCCTTTCTCAAGTGGCCCGAACCGTTTCTCAAGTAACCCGAACCGTTTCTCAAATGACCCGATTCATTCCCCAGCTCATCTGCGTCACTCTTGGCCCCCACGCTGCCATGCCGCAGATGCCCGTTTCGTGCCAATTGTGGCGAGCTGCCGGGCGTCCGATTAAGCCCGGGTCGTCGAAGAGGTGTGCTGCTACTCAAAGAATCCGTGCTCCTGCTTCCCGTGGCCGTTGCCGGCCGGGCCTGTATCCTGTCTTTCGACCCGGGCGTTTTCGGACCTGCCAGAAAACTGCCATGTCGCGTTGTTGCCGCCGGCGTCCGCGGCCCCGAGTTGTGTCTGTTCATGGTGGCTGGACGGACGCAAGAAGCTGCCGGTAGTGTGGCGATTTCTATATCTAGAGCAGGCCTCTGGGTCTGCAATTAGCACCAGTATACAAACACCGGCTATGTACGTATTTATGTGGCGTGGCGCTTCCAGTGCACACGGCCTAGTATATGACTGACGGAAATGGGGTTCATGATCTGTCAGGCATGGACTGTGCGCGCGGATCCGGGGAAGAACCAGTTGACATGTTGATTTCGCAGTGTTTATTTTGGATTGATTTTGGATTAATTTTGGATTAATTCTGGATTGATTATGTATTGATTATGTATTGATTATGTATTGATTATGTGTTGATTATGTGTTGATTATGTGTTGATTATGTATTGATTATGTATTGATGATGTATTGATGATGTATTGATGATGTATTGATGATGTATTGATCTTGTATTGATTTTGTATTGATTTTGTATCGATTATTGGCTATGTATCGATTATGTATTGATGATGTATTGATTGATGTATTGATG